TTGACTGCTTTTTAAATCATTTATCAAATCTCAATAGTCGTTAGGACGAAAATTGCCCATTTTTTCAAACTTACTCAATATATTTTTTTTAAACTCTCTTTTCATTTTTTTAATCAATTGTTTATATTTTCTTTTCTGGTTATATTATAGCACTTCATTCTTAATTCCTTATTGTTAGGATTGATACTTAATCTCCTGGAGATTGCTTTTAGGTCTCTTTTCATACTGCTAAGTTCTTTTCAGGCTACTATCAGCTGCCTCATGGTAAATGTTTGATAGTTGGCATGTTGCTTCATCAACAGCCTGCTGAGAGGCAGCAAAATCAGTAATATTGAATTTATCAACGTACACAGATTTTTACTTTGCAATGCGTCACTGAAAAGCAACTTTGAATTTTCATCCCAATAATAAGAGAATTTTAGTTGCTGAACATTTCCATGTTCATAGTCATGATAATTATCATTGTCGGTTATACATGTATTCATCAGGGCATTGGTCTGAAGATGGAAGGACATCTGACAGTGATCTGATAGGTCTAAATTTAGTGAATTTATATGAAAAAAATAATGTTTTTGAATAGATTGTTACTCACAATAGTGTAGTCGACAATACTATTACCTTTGTTTTGAAAACAAGTGAATTTACCAGTTAGGTCACCAATACACCTACCATTTAGAATAATCAGGTCAGTGCTAATACAAAGATCCAGCAATTGACTTCCATATTGGTTTTTAATTGCTAAATCTTGTGAAGCTCTTACTTTAAATTGGGTGTTTGTATCAGTGGAGGATTGTTTCACAGTGTAGTCAAAAAAAGCCACATCTTTTTCATTTTTTGTTCGTGCATTGAATTCACCTGTCAGTATCACAGATCCTGATTTTGAGTACCTACTGATGTCTTTTTCTAGTAATTCAAAAAGGTTAGAGTCCTTCCAGTTGAAAATACTGGAGGCTTGAGGACTTAGATATAAAGCGCACAAGAAGATATCCTCATCAAGTTTAAAAAATTCCTTGTCTAGACAGACCCAAATGAAATCGTCACTACTACTAGGCATTTGTTTTATGCCTTGTCTATAGATGTTTTTGTAATACACCGCAATTCAACCAGAGTTAGAGCGGGCTTTATGTATTTGTTTCCTGACGGAATGAAAGTGGTTGTAGTTAGGAATTTCAATCTGGGAATTACTGTTAGTTTTCGTCTCTATCAGACTGAAAAAATCAAAATCTCTAATATTATCTAAAAAGTCTACATCTCTAATTTTCTGAGCTAAACTACCACAAATGTTCCAGGTAGAAAATTTTAAAAAAGATTTCAAGACTGGATTACTATTCATTGTACTCAAAAAAGGATAAATAAAGAGTAAGATTAAACAAATAAATAAACTGGCAAATAACGATAAATGCAAGAATAGATATAATGTGTCAGATACATTATACTAGGTCTAGTTAAAATATGTTGAGGTTTACCTAATTTAGTGTAGCAGGTAAGTCCAGATATTTATTTATTACATGAGCTGATAATGTTCATGATACTTGTAAACAAATTGTAATTGTCTATATATCCATCTTCCTGATTATCAGATTGTCCGCCTTCAGCTTTTTCAAAATTCCGCAGCTTGATTAGTTACTCTTTCTCATAAACATGAGCACATTACTCTTGTTCTGCAAAATCTTCTCTGGTTACCTGTTTCCCAGCGTATTGTTATTAAGGTTTTAATGTTTGTACATAAGATGGCGCTTCATTGTGTAAAATGTTATCTATCCGACCTAATTACTGTTTTAATATCTTATTTTTCTAAATGTATTTTGATAACTTTTTTTATGTAAAGCGCATTGAGATTATATGTTTCATGTAATGCACTATATAAGAATTAAAAATAACAAGCCATGCATGGCACAGTCCCCGTTAGTTATCAAATTTAAGATATATTGTTTTGTTTATAGTAATATAGTTGGAATATGACTATGTCCAGGAATATGATTTTTTAACATTAAAATGATTGACATTTGTATCTGATCATCAAACAAGTACTTGTCCATATTGAGAGATATTGCTCTGGAACAGCATTCAAAATCAGCCATTTTGAATACATGTATATATATAACATGATGTATAACGAATATAATCAGTCAAAGCATTTAAGAGATATAGCTTTAGAATCCCAATCATTAAAGCAAAATGGCCGTCAGTCAGCCATTTTGAATCCAATCTGAAAAATAAAATGACGTGCATCAGGAACTCGTCTAATATATGTACCAAGTTTGAACGAAATCCATCCATAAATGCCAGAAATGCTTGATATTTGATAATTTTTTAGCACAAAAAAGGCCACCATTTAGACATTTTGAATAGGATCGTCAAACCAATATATCTGTCTATCTATGACATCATGTATAATGAATATTTAAAATTTGAATATAATCAGTGAAAGCAAGTCAGAGATATGGCACAAGAGCCACATTCATTAAAACAAAATGGCCGCCAGTCGGCTATTTTGAATCTTATCTGAAAAACAAAATTATTTTGTCCCACAACGTCTAATGTATATACCAAGTTTGCACAAAATCCATCTGTAAACAGCTGAGAAATGCTTGATTTTTAGAATTTTTTAGCACAAAAATGGCCGCCATTCGACCATCTTGAATCAAATTGTGAAACAAAATTATGTGCATCAAGGTCCTATAATGTCTAATGTATATACCAAGTTTGAACAAAATCCATCTGTAAACAGCCGAGAAATGCTTGGTTTTGATGATTTTTAGCACAAAAATGGCCGCCATTCGGCCATCTTGAATCAGATCGTGAAACACATTGATGTGCATATGTATAATATCATGTATGATGTATGTGTGAAGTTTGATTGTGATTGGTCCAGGCATTTCTAAGATACAGGTCCGGACGCCTGCACGCACGGACACACAGAGGTCAAAACATAATCTGTCTGCAAACACTACGGATTAAGAATTTTAGCACATGCTGACGAGATCCTGTAACATGAACGTCGTACATGTTTAAAATACAGTTAATGACCACCTTTAAACATTACATGCATGTGACCCACAAGACTATTTAGATTTTTTAGTCACAGTGAATTATGTGTATGTACGTTAAATTCACAATATAAGTACAAGTGAGTAATGTCCTAAGTTCCATGTATGTTGAGCTGGGCAAGGATGTATAAATGACAGGTTTGTTCTTTCCATGCTATACATAGAAGCTTGTGTAAATACAAATTGTGTGACCACCTGTTCATTATCATGAAAAAGTCCGGGAGAGGGCTTGTAGTTTCGCCTTCGTCAGTCCGTTCGGAGTGATTTCTCGGAGATGGGTGGACTGATTTTTTGAAACGTGGTACAAAGACATAGTGGTCAACCATACATGTGCATGTCAATTTATTTTCCGATTCGACTTAATATAGCCGACTGGCGGCGATTTTCAATGCCAAAATTCAGTCAAATTCGGTCCTTGTGTGTCCATCGTAATTTCTCTGAGATGGCTTGACCGATTTTGTTGAGACTTGTTACAAAGACAAAGGGACCACCCATACAGATGCACGTTGTTTTACTTTTTTGAAATGATTAAATATGGCAGACTGGCAGCCATTTTGATTGTTAATCATGGCTTTTGTCTGTCCATTGATATTTCTCAGATGCCTTGACTGATTTCAATGATACTAGGTACAAAGACAGTGATACATATTCACATGGATTTATTTCCTGATTTGATCAAATATGGCTGCCTGGCGGCCATATTGAATGTCAAAATCCTGTAAAATCACGTTTTTTTGGGAGTGTCCATCATTTCTTAGAGATGCCTAGACCGATTTTGCTGAGACTTGCTACAAAGACAGAGCGACTACTGGTACAGATGCACATTTGAGCTCATTTGCATATTTAATTATTAATTTGAATTCTTGTTAATATCTTTTGAACTAATAGTCCAAATCAGACCAAACTTGGTAGACTTCTTGATTTGTTAATATAAGATATATGCTATGCAATATTGAGTTTCAATTTAATTAATGAACTCATTTGCATATTTAATGAATTTTGGTTGATATTTTGTGAACTAATTGTCCGAATGAGACCAAACCCATTGGTATACTTACTTGATCTGTCAATATAAGATGTGTGGTATGCATCATTGACTTTTAACATAATTAATGAGCTAATTTGAATATTTAATGAATTTTGAGTTTTATCTTCATGAATTTGCTATTTCATATAGACTCAATTGAATTTCCATTAAAATCGATGTAAATTTTACCAAATTTGATAGAGATGTCCTAGCTGTTAACCTTGAGTAACATACTTTTGATTTTCATCTTAATCTTCCTACCCGATTCTATACATATACATTCAAACTTGTTATGGCGGGCAGGTATAAATGTCACAATTCATACAATCCTTTGGATTTGTGTAGTTGTCTTCAAATCAGTCACACACAAAAACTGAGGTAACCTACATGTATATAGGTTGTGATTCACATTAACACACAAACTTACACACACATATTCAATGAACTGAATAATTCTTTCATATTTACAATCAAAATTTATACTAAACTAGTGAAAATGCATATGACATGTCAACCACAAGATACAAATGAACAACCACAAGATACAAATGATAGAGAAAGGTCGTCATACTAGACCAAAAACAAAAGCGAATGAAGCAAAGTTTATATAAACAAAAGTGCCATTTTGTAAACCAGTGTCAACAGTATATTTATTTTTGTTTCTTAGAATAGTATTTGACTATGTTCTATTCAAAATGAATAATGTCAATAAATTATATTACGTCCGTGCATGCATCCGGTCCTATATCTTAGATATGCCTGCACCAATTACATTCAAACTTCACACATACAGCACATTCTACATATGCACATCCATTGGTTTCACGATCTGATTTTTGAGGCCACCATTTCAATTGTGTATAGTTTGTATAGTAAACAAAAGGTTTGTACATGTCTAAAGTAACTGGGTCACTATCAGTCACAATGTAATCTGGGTAACTATGACATCACCGAACAAGGAGACCCCCTCAGTGCATGTGCAAAGATAAAGAAAGTATGAATGAAAAAAAAATACAAACAAAGAATTTAGAGCTCTCTGGAACTAATTAGTGAGAATTTTATTTAATTGCTGCCTTGAATCCTTGTGAGATGGTATGTCAAGTGAGATTAAACTCAAATCAATTAACATCAGTCAACTGCTGTAAATATTTAACATTCTGTTACTATACAATCATGGTATATTACTCAAAGCTTATCGTGCAATAGGAAAGATACTCCATGGTTCACAGCCTTTAACTGGATATCCAGCAGTATCAGTATACACATCAGTGTAAAGTTCATTCACAGATATTTCTGGATCCGACTTTGCTTTCTGTACGGCATCCTCCACTTCTTTACGAACATCCAAGTCAATTTTCTAAAAAAAACACAAGAGAAAATGCATGAAAAAACAACTTTTAAGGTCGAAGTTACACAAAAGTAAAAATATTGCCATTTTCTTTATTTTTTCACATATTTTGTATATCATGTTTCAAGGATTAAGAAAAGGAATTAAAAATATATGGTTGTCCTTCTCGGTTTGGAATAAAAAACAATCAATGAAATGCAGTGTAAATAGCATGTTTTAATCATGTATGTAAGGGGTCTCCGACGCAACGCGATTGTGCGACTCGAAGAGCACGATTCCCATTGGTTGGTTGATCAAAAAGTGTGAATCCCAAAAAAGTTTGAAATGGCTATTTCTCAGACTGCTCGCGAACTACCGTAAACAAGTACATATGTAAGTACCGGCGACATGCCACACTGTACAGTGATCGGCAAGCACATGGAAGACAAGTTGTGGAACCAAACAAATGTCACATGGTTCACGGTGATTCGTATAGTGTATGTGCACGTTGGTGTGACTACAATTTACAGTGTGTAACGTTATTTTGTATTATATGTTTTTAAATATAAGCCTAACTAGTCAAGAAAGACTAACTGATCTTTTACCAAAAATATAAATGGGCACCATCAATAATCGCTCAGAAGTAATGATTTATGGATTAAATTTTCCCACTGTTTGTAGTAAACTAGGATTACATATTCTATAACTCCTGGTTACCCTACATTGTGACAGAAAAGGTTCATTAAAGCCATTAAAGATAAACAAGTTTGTATAACAATGTTACAATCAGAATGTAGTTTTCTATATGATAAAAGGTCTTTTTTCAAATGTCATTACAATTTGTTGTGTTCATACAACAAAAAGAGCCTATGATACGTACTTATACCCTTGGTCATGTGACCAACTGTTCTGTCCATACATTTATAACTGTAAATCCACACATGGCTCATTACGCTATTATGGATTCTAACGGATGAAAAATCTTTCCCATGAGCAAATTACCCTATGTTCATCACTGTGCATGGAGTCAAACTGACTGCTGAATCATTCAATTTTACCATTTTTCATGGTACAAGTCCAAAACACTTTGACAAAGACTTTTTGGGGAATTCTGTCAATCTTAGATTTTAATTTATAACATGATTGAAAGGGAGATACCAGAAAAACACATTTGTATGTAATTGAGTAATGAATTGTAACTATTAATATTGAGCGACAGGAAGGTGTTTGAATAA